TTATAGACCGATTTGTTAATTTTCAGTAAAATTATAATATTTCAGCTTATACGATTGATTAACCGGCGAGTTTCCACTAACTATGCTCGCCGGAACTCTTGAATCCTTATGTCCAGTGGCGCCGAACTACTTTTTAGTAGGTGGTGCAAACACAAATTTTAACCACCCACCCACCCCTACCTAGACACCCACAAAAATTTTATTTTCAATTAGGTTCAAAGTCAACATTTCCAATAAAACTTTAATAAAATATTGTTTTATACATAAATCAATACATTTATGATCTATCTATAAAATACATGTACCTATATTATGTAGGTATATAATTAATTTTTACATTTTAAGTTTTAACCAATAAGTTTTTTGCTTAGTACTGAACTACATTTTGCAAATACATCAACCACTTCATTATTATCTATGAGCACATCGGACTCACATGATATTATTAACAATGACTCTAGACGATCTTGTTTCATAGTGCTCCTTAACCGATTTTTGATAGTTTTTAATTTTGAAAAAGTTTTTTCAGTGGTTACACTACATACTGGTAATGTACAAGCAATACGAAGGGCCATGAATAATGTAGGGAATACATTATGAAGCCCAGCTGAGTAGCATATTTGAAGTAATGTTAATAAGCTTCCTGTATTTTTAACATCTTGTTGTGTCGACAATTATAGTCAATAACTCAATACGACATATTATTATGTTCGTATAGTTAATAATAACCATAGACCTTATACTAATAGCAGTGCCGTAAAAACCGGGTGTGCAAAGTGTGCACCGCACACAGGCCTCGGGCTTTATAATATATCGAAGGGCCTCAAAAGATCTAAAGACTATTTTTTAAAACAAATATTACTATACATTTTAAAGTAGGCACTCTCACCACTACAAACATTTTTTGTCAATTTAATACAGAATAATTTATTGAGTTGACAAAATTATACTATCAAATCAATTGTCTTTATTATATTTTAACGACACACTTCGGATGTTTAAACAACCCTCATCCCTTTCCATGATCAAATCTCATGTAGTCTATCATCTGCTTCATCACCATTCCCCAACTATATATTGTGGTCGCTACATGAGAAATCGAGTGAATATCCAATGTTGTAAAAATTTGAATTTCAAACGCTCATAAAAATTTAATTTGACTTTCTTATAGACATTTTTTTTTTGATAAAGGTAGATAATCTTATAAGGAATCTTGTATTACATTTTCAAATCTTAGATTTAAAAAGAAAAATCTTTACGAATTCTTAACACAAAATAATTTGCTAATTTTCGTGATTTTTCCATATTTTGTCAATTTTTGAACTTTAAATGCTTATAAAAAAAAATTGTGACTAAGGATTTTTAATATTTTTCATCTGCCTTTGAAACAATATACTAGGAGCCTTCTATTAAATTTTCAAGCTTTCGCAACCAACAAATAAAATTATATTGATATTTTTAGAAAAAAAACTAAAAAAAAATGGAAAATGAAGACGTCCCTAAACAGTTCAAAATAAATCAAAATATTTTGAAAATGTTATCGTGTATATAAAATGCAAATATAAATAACCAGTGAAAATGTCATGTATATACGTTCATTTGTTTTAGAGTTACACCAAAAACCAAAATCGATTTTTTGCGTAAAAATTCCAGTTTTTCCTTAATTTTTATGTTGTTTTTCCCGGCGCTTGTGAAAACTACTGGGAAACTTTTACTTTTGACCCCCCAAAGTACCAACAAGATTCACTTTCCTATCAGAAAAGCTACTGTTGAAGAAAATCCAAGCACTTTTACTGTCCTAAAACGTGATGACAGACACAAAAAAAAAAAAAAACACACATCATTGTAAAATCAATACATTCATCGTTTCACTCAGAATCTAAAATATTGTCTATTTACTTAAAACCAAAAATTTTATTTTTTGGTGTAACTCGAAAACTAAAAACCGAAGAAAATTTAAGTTTTCACCAAATATTTATATGAATATTTTCAATAAATTACATTTTGGAAAATTTTTACTTTTTTGAGTTAGTTATAGCCTTGAGAAATTGTTTTAAAACTATAGATTATTTTAAATTAAAATTTTTTTTTTTGTTTAAGCCCGAATTTTTGTCTGCTGACTTTAAAAATTATTGCAAAAAAAGTTTTTGAGGTGTGTATTGAAAAAGATAATAGGGGCCTCAATATTTTGGTTTTGCACCACAGGCCTCAAGTAGCCTAGTTACGGCACTGACTAATAGACGGAAAATCCAGGCGGGATGCGGGTGGGTGGTGCGGCCTGTGCTACAGTGATATATATATATATTATATACAGTAATATACAGAGTATTGTATCATCTAGTGCGCATGTGCGGTGTACGGTGTACTACCTTGATCAGCGCCGAATATTAATAGTTTTAATTTGTAAACATTAGTATGCATTATTAGTAATATTTATTACACTTTGTTTCTACTTTCTACAATTACTTGGCCATCAATTATTAAAGTATTAACAAGTTCGTATTAAGTAGGTACTTACTGGCTACTTAGTGTCAGTTTTTCAAAACTATATGGACCCAGACACCCAGTGGCCAGTACCCACCCACCAATTGTAGGTGGTGCAAATGCACCACCTTAAGTACGTGTTCGGCGCCACTGCTTATGTCGCGCTTCTCTGGACTGCCAACACCGTCACGATCCTTACCCCCCGATCTGCAGTTTCACCGTCACTTAGAAAATTCCTCCTGTCGCCATCTCCGGGTCCGACGAGCACCTCGATCAGCAGCCTGCAATAGCTGTCTACAGTCCGAACCGCCCTTCCGAACGCCTTGCCGCTGCAGAACGAACACGAGCCGGTTGCACGGACGCGGGCAGCGTTTCCGTGATCGTGGTCCTTTACAGGCAAAGGCTGATTTCCAACTCGTCCACCTGCTGCTCCCTGATCCTTTCGGTTGCTGCCACCGCCGCTGCATGCCGTATTCTTCGCCGTCGAGCTCCCGCACATCCTCGCTTGCTCCGTCCAGAGCACTGAACCGCAGTCGGCCGGATGTATAGTTGTAGTGCACTGCGCCGTCCTGGTCCGACAGCCCGTCACCTCAGAAGATCCTCTCGTCGTCTTTAGTGTGCAGTATGTCAGTAAAATCCGCGGCAATGGACATTTCACACCAGCGTTTCTCCTCGACGGTTTGTTCGAACGTCCGGTCGATGCTGTGGTCGTTTCAGAAAAAAACATTAAAAATAAAAAAGAATTTCATTGTTTTATATTAATAAAGAAGGATTTACTAATTAACATTGATTATATTTTTTATTTTTGTTCATAACTCATAATACTTATGATATTGTATAACTAAAATAACTAGTATAATTATAATACCAATTAGTTCAATATTAAATGTTAGCAAATATGCATGCTAATCATGTTCAATGTTAATGTAAATTAAATCAAATGTAAGTATTGATTATGATATTAATATATTATGTGTAAAAAATACTTACCTCGAAAAATGGTATTGGTGAAAACTAAAAATCACTCATTTAAAATTTAAAATGACAATGAATGTCTATGTCTAACACCAATTCGTAGTTAAATTATACAACAGTACATCATTTTTTCAAGTACTTTTTTCAAAAGTTGGTTACTTAAAAAGTAGGTAGTTGAATACTTTTACAGTTAACTCAAGTACTTTACAAGATTCCTATGCGTACATTTTACTTATGAGTTTTTGATGAGACAAAATTAGAAATAGTACTATAACAAATACCTTATGTAGTAAAAAAAAAAAAAACGGTGAAAAAGGTTTATTTCATATGCGAGGGGGGAAGCTAAAGTAGGCAGGGGTAAAGCGTGAAAGTTTAAAATAGTAAAGTTTCGGGTTCAGCGACAGTCGTGCAAATACATGCTAATGACGTGCTAATGTTTGATAAAAAAAAAATTGTAAAAAAGTGATTATTAAACTTGTGGGGGGCTGGGGTAACGTTACGCCAGGCCCTCCATAGTTTTTTTATGAATAACTTGTAAAAAAATGTCGTGCAAATTCTAAAAAAAGTCGTGAAAATGCATGCTAATGGCGTGCTTATTCAAAATAAAAGTAAAGTCAATCTTAACTCGCTCAAATTCGTTGAACAGGGATGTAGCCACTGCGAAGACAACCGTCAGCCGTCAAAGCACAACGCCATGACGACGGCCCACAGGCAGGGGTGTGCTCACGGGGGGGATGAGGGTGTCATATCCCCCCATGAACTTTTTTTTTTATGCATTTACTTAAGTTTCTTGCTGATTAAGTTTAAGCTGATCATTTTATTAGTATATATACAAAAAAACAACCATCAATTGTTGAGACTGTTGACACTGATAGGTACCTATGTAAACAAAACACTTGATTATAATATTAATTTAAATTAATTAATATTGAACACGAATTTAATAATATATTCCTAATGGCAGAGGTAATCAAAGTCAATTTACAAATTGTATATTTAATTTTTATCAAACTATTTCTAAACATGATATAATGTAATTTAGGAAATGGCTAAAGTTATCAGCTTAAATCTATTAGTGAAAAGAATAACAAAAAGACAAACCAATCGTGCAAATCCTTTTACAGATTCGGATAATAATAAAATATCAGAAATAAACGTTGAAGGTTATTATCGAACTACAATATTCATTCCATATGTAGATTTTTTTATTGTTCAATTAGAAGAAAGATTTACAGCACACAAAAAATTTTTAAAGGTTTTTCTTTTAGTAGTATTTAGTACTAATTTTTACTCATTTGTAAATGTATATAGGATTTGAGACTATTTTTTCAAAAAATCAGTTTTTAAATACAAGTGAAATTGAATCCTTTAAAAATCTGGCAGATTTTTATTCACCATACATAAATAAAGACAACAGTTTAGCTGAACTAAAAATCTGACGAACAAAATTATTGGAAAATTCTGAAGTCATTAAAACTGGCCTAGATACTCTCCAAACCTGCAGTTCCTCTATTTATACAAAGTTGAATAAGCCATTAAAAATGTTATATGTCCTACCCGTTTCAACATCCACCCCAGAAAGAACATTTTCAACATTAAAGAGGGTGAAGACATACACAAGAAACTCAATGCTTGAAGTAAAATACTCTTCAACTTATTAGTTTAACCGAAATTGAATATATACTTACATTTTATTTTAGGAACGTTTGAATGGATTAACGCTATTGGCAGTTCATAAAGATAATATAATCGTTACTCCAGATGAAGTCTTAGATGAAATGGCTAAGAAACCAAGAAAACTTGAATTTGTAATTTAGGTCTTTAGACCCGTAATTTTAACATATGTCCGAATATATAAAACATTAATACATTTTGAATTTTATGTTTAGCTATATATGTAGAATATAGTTTTAAAGTTTTCAGTCATAATTTTATAATAACAAGTAGGTAGGCATGTATATAATATAATATATATCAACCTACTTCTAAAATACCAACGTATACACGATACACCTATAAGAACATTTTGTGTCTATGATAATCAACAAAACAAAATACGGTTCATCCCCCCCCACCCCATTGGAAAAAGCTGAGCACGCTCCTGCCCACAGGTTCCTGAATTTTCGTTTTAAGTCATCTAAAAATTTCAACTTAAAACTACCTAATGCAATGGCTAAATAGACTATTTAGCCATGCCTAATACGTTATACGATATAAACACAACGAGCGGTAATAATCAATCAATAGTGAAATGTTATTTGTATACAGATATAATATGTTCACTCATATAATATTTGTTATATAAATGCGGTGAGTGAAATATTTATACATAATATACCTTCCGTTTAAAGTAACGATTCTCAATCCGTTTTCTTGGAATGGCCCAGAAACTTTTTCCGTCTGTCTTCATGACTAGCAAATCAAAAATGTGTTTGTTTTCGTAGTTCCGACCGGTAATTTATGTTAATGATTGCTTCAGCTTAACTTCAATAGAGCGGAACTATGTTTAAAAAAAATTGTATTAATACCTAGGTAATAGATGTCCACCTATATTACTTATCATAAAACATTTCATTAGTGATATAATTATTTTGAACATAGCAATTTTACTATAAAATTTAATTAATAACAGCTAACCTACCATTTATTAATATTGAATATGAGTTTCATTATTAAAATTAACAGTCTTCCCTGCTACTATTATCCTAAATAATTATTTATAATATTCAAACATTTATAACCTATTTTAGTGCATCAACATGATCGGCTCAGTAAATGAATTTGATGAAAATTGGTGAAATATTACAGATTTAACAAGTAATCATTTTATTTATTATGAATATGAATTACTCTCAAATAACAATTAATATTACCTATATGCAATAGGTAATAATTCATCTCAAAACAATACAACTACATAGAATGGAATAAATAGAAGAATTCCAGAATTCCAGAAAAAATAAATACAATTAACAGTCGATGCATTTGCTTCTAGAATGGAATTTAGAATCAGTATACACATCTTGTATAGGTAAAATTGAAAAAAAATTTACTATGCATGTTTAAACTAAATGTTTCACTTTAATATTTTTAGATATACTAATTTACACTCTAATATTGAACAAGTTCATATTATTCAAAACATTGCTGGTCTAATGATGACATAATATCAGAAAACACAGTTTTTCAATAATCCTAATGAGGTTACTTTACAAAGAATAATGTTTTAAACAAAAGTTGTCAAAATATGTTGGTGGGATATAATCAAAAATGGCTTTGTAATGACAGTTTTATAGTACCTATTCTATAGCCAGTGCAATTTGTTAGAACTTTTCATTCTAAAATCAAGGTAATATAAGTCATAAGTTAAAGTAGTAACCTAATAAAACACCAATTAAATAAATACATTTCTATTGTGACTTATTATAGGAAATACATTTTGGTAATGATGCCTTGAATTCCCCAAAAGTTAAATTGTATTCAAAACATTTTGAACACCATTTGAATAATGACACAATGTGGAAATTATAACAATTAATAATGTATTGTACATAATAATGAGTAATTTATAAAATTTAAATTATTATTTTATTTTAATATAACATGATGACGTCTTATACTTCTATAATTGACATTGTAGAGTACAATTCGAACTCCAGTACGATATCCGGCTGTAATACAATTTGGAAAATTTGAAGTGGAGACATGTTATTCTTGTACATTCCCGCAGGAGGAGAATGCTGCGAAATTAATATTTTGTGAATTTTGTTTAAAATACACTAAATGTCAATCGATTTTTGAAAGACATATGCGACACTGTTATTGGAGAACACCGCTGGGGACAGAAATCTACCAAAGTGGAGATTTAAGCATTTTTGAAGTAAATTAATTTTACGAAACAATTCATAATAGATTTATTAATTAATTTATTATTTATTAATTTATTCATTTATTCATAAACTACCTATATAATTTTTTATTTATTTTTTTGAACAGGTTGATGGTAAAGTAAACAAATAAAGGTATTGCCAAACACTATGTCGATTGGGAAAACTATTTTTGGACCTAAAAACTCTGGACTATGGCGTTGAACCGTTCTTATTTTATATTGTGACGAAAAACGACGGTTTTGTACTTGTATCTATATAAATTCATTTTAAATTGTAATTTTCGAAGTGAAAACTCCTCTTGGCAGGATCTGCCTTCCGCTCGAATCGTGTGACTAAACGCATAAAAGAATTATTGAGTGACACTAGCAAAATATGTAACGCTGTCAATCCAAATTATCTTAATTCTATACATTATATATATTTATGTGTATATGTGTTTTTGTGTGTGTGTCTGCGCCCAATTATAAGTCCACCCATTATATAAATTCAAATTTTAGTACATTCCAATAGGTAGTCAAAATGTATTTGTAGAAGTTTTCAATTCTGTCTACCGTCGCAAGACGGTAATTCAATTTTTATTTTTTTTATAGTTGTCTACCATAATTATATTGTAATAATGTTCAATTAAAAATGTTAAGGGCTATCATTTGGTTGGTTATTTTTTGAAACTAAAACAAAATTAAGAAAATGAAGAAAATTGTAATGAAGCTTGTATCGTCATCGTGCCACAGTATCGAAGACAAGGGTATGGACGAATTCTCAACGAATTCAGTAAGTGAAAACTACATGGCCCTAGGCGTTTTAGCATATATCACGTCTAGTTTATCTTTTCAGGTTATCTTCTATCCAAAATTGAAAAACAACCGGGAACTCCGGAAAAACCCCTTTCCGGCTTGGGTAAAATTACATACGATGCATATTGGAAAGTATTCTTGAATATTTAGATAAACACAGAGACATTGACAACATATGCATTAACGATGTTAGAAGTGTAGGTATTTGGACGGTTTGTAATGAATGTAGACACTTTTTGGTAACGACAACACGTTTATTAAGTACGATATAATAATATATAGACACTATATTAATATCACAGGTTACTATTCCGACGTGTGCGGCGTTGACAACGGTTCGGCGAAAGCTGACCCGTCGCCACCGCCGCCGGTCCTGCCTGAGCCTTCAGCTGAGGAGCCAAAACGGTCACCCATCTAGCCTTATGGTTACCAGTTTCTTCAAGTATTGCCTCGGCCTGGAGCAAAAACCGCACTGCGTCTTCCTCCCTCTTACCGGCAAACTCTGGTATCGACGCACGGGCCATATTCAACTCATTTTGAGGAATGTGCAGTCTATCCGGGAAATGCACTCGTTTTACACCGGAAAAACTACTCCGTAACGCTTCCTCACGACTTCTACCGGACACTTCACCGAACACTCCGGACAGATCACCGAAGACTCCGGACGTTTCACCGGACACTCCGGGCCGGTTACCGGAAACTCCGGAAACACTCCGATTTCTCGGGTTTTCCCCGGTCAATCTGCTCTGTATGTTCGCCCATCGGCTCTCAAAACTCACACTTTGAGTTTTGACCGGACGATTTTGACTTTCGTCCGGGCAACTCTGATTGGCTCCGGATATATCGCTGGTTGATGGTTGTTGGGAATTTCCAACGCTTGAGCAACTTGCTTGCTCCACCCTTTCGGTTGACTTGAGCTTTTCTTCGGCTAACTCCCGCCGGCATCCCTCGGTGAACCCCCGCTGGAACAAGGCCCACGCAGTATCGGATATTGCTCGTATCCGGCCGAACGATGCGGTGGCCGCGCGTTCGGCCTACCAACCGCCAACCGTGTCCTCCGGACCATCGCCCGACAGCTTCCTGGCTTCCCGCAACAACTGCGCGGCCATCGCCCGGAGCTTTTCCACATGCGTGGCAATCATGCCGCGGGATGGCCGGTGGTTGCGGTTTGGTGGTGGATGGTTTATTCGTTCTACCATCTGAAACAAAGTATGATTAGTTAGTGTTCTCTGACGGTCCTACAGCTGAGACATGTAACTTAGTAGGGTGTTTACCCTCCGTCAAGAACACTCCGGTTCCTAGTGGTTTACCCAACTTAACCGGACCTAACCATTTCGGGGCGAACCCCGCATGAAAACGCTTCTCCGCACTTGACTGCGGATGCGCTTTGTAGTATACCCAATCCCCTACTGACAGATTGCTTCTTCCCGGGGATTCTAGGGGTATATGGGTACTGGGGGCTTTGGGGCCGGAGACCACCAGGTTACCCCCCTCTACCACAGCAGCATCACCTGGTGGCGGTGCAACACCTTGTCCCGGATCACGTACAACTTCCGAAGCCGACCGAACCTTGCACCATCTCCGGAGAGTTTAGCAACTATCTCCCGTACGTTCGGGTCGCTTTGTTGCCACTCTCGGACAGCTTGCAATGTGACGTTTCCGTCATTCCTCTTCGGCTGGATCGCTCCACACTGGGTGACACCCACACCGGATCCTAAGGACACGCCGGACAGATCACCGAAGACTCCGGAAGTTCCTCCGGACACTCCGGGCCGAATTACTGGGGGATCGTGGATATTGTTCTCCAACAATTCTTCGTCCACTGTATTCGGTCCCACCGGACAACGGGATAGCACGTCGGCTGTTTCATTTTCTACTCCGGGTACGTGCCGGATTTCAAAATCGAAAGCCCCGAGTTGTAGCGCCCATCGCGTTAGTTTGCTGTTGGTACAGCGAGCTTGCTGTAACCATCGGAGTGCCGCGTTATCTGTGAATAACATAAACTTACCAGACACAAGATACGGCCTGAACCTGTCAACCGCCCAAACTATGGCTAGACATTCACGTTCGACTGCCGAGTATCTTCCCTGTGCTGGATTGAGTTTCTTGCTGGCGTAGGAAATGATTTTCCTG